CTAGAATTTTTTTAAAAAAAGAAAAAAAGGAGAGGCTGGGAGATTCAGTCGCCGGTCAGCCTGAAAATGGCCCTCAGCCCCTCACCCAAATGGGACTCCCACCCTGATCTGGGACACCCTTCAGGGCAACCCAGCCGGCCCCACCCATGCACCAGGCCTCTATCCTATATACTAAAAGGGTAATATGCAAACTGACCCTAACAACAGAAAGACTGGGAATGACTGGTCACTATGACACACACTGACCACCAGGGGGCAGACCCTCAATGCAGGAGCTGCCCTCTGGTGGTCAGGGCTCTCTCACATGGGAGGAGCTCTGCTCAGCCACAGCCAGGCCGATGGCTGCCAGTACAGCGGTGGTGGTGGGAGCCTCTCCTGCCTCCTTAGCAGTGCTAAGGATGTCTGACTGCAGCCTAGGTCTGCTCCCCGCTGGCAAGTGGACATCCCCCGAGGGTTGCCGGGCTGCCAGAGGGATGTCTGATTGCCAGCTTAGGCCCAATACCTCGGGGAGCAGGCCTAAGCCAGCAGGTGGTCATCCCCCAAGGGGTCCCAGACTGCGAGAGGGCACAGGCCAGGCTGAGGGTCCCCCTCTCCCCCGCCGAGTGCACAAATTTTTGTGCATCGGGCCTCTAGTTATTTCTATAATTGAGTACCCATAATTATTGGGGAATAACCATTCATTTGCACTGAAGTTCTTTAGTCTGTCCATCTAGACCAGGGGTGGGCAAACTTTTTGACTTGAGGACCACAATGGGTTCTTAAACTGGACCGGAGGGCCGGAACAAAAGCATGGATGGAGTGTTTGTGTGAACTAATATAAATTCAAAGTAAACATCATTACATAAAAGGGTACGGTCTTTTTCTTTTTAGTTTTATTCATTTCAAACGGGCCGGATCCGGCCCGCGGGCTGTAGTTTGCCCACGGCTGATCTAGACAATGCAGGTGTACATTCACTCACTGGTATTTATTTAAAACTAAAATCACTTGAGAGGATTTGTTGGCCCACTACCACTTCCCCCACTCAGTCCCTTGTGGATATCCTCTTCCCAGACCTAGTAGCATTTTCCAGTGGGTGACTCTCTGTAGGAACTGGGTTGGCCAGGATAGACTGAAAAGAGAAGTACAGGCTCAGGATTCCTTAGTGAAACCTCTATTTACTCAGTCAAACCTTTAAGGCCCTCTTATGCCACTGATCAAAGAACCCTGTCTTTGCCCACACTGCCTCCAGAGCTGGGAAGAAGGTCTACCTGCCTCGGAGGCACTCTCTCTGGTCAACAACACTTGCCCACAGTGATAATAGGCTAGTTGTATTGGAAATCTGACTAACACAAAACTTTATTTTTAGATCCAGATATAAACCATTTGAAATATGTCTATCAAGATCCCATTTCAAATTATTTAATTTGAAAAAATTCAATTATTTCTCTAAAACAAAGAGTAAAACTAAAACCAAAATAATTTAGATACAGAAAATACTAGAGGTATACCTATTTATCAATATCTATTTCTGATTTTTAAAAGAAAAAGAATTGCAGAATAACTAAAGAGTATTTCCCTATCCACTATACTTTCTCACAGAAAGTTATGGCTAGTGAGAATTCATTGTAAGCCAGATTGTGCTGTATGTCCAGGGTATGGGATGGTCGTAAGGATCACTTTAATAATAACATTTGCATTTCCAGGGCAAGGTCCTTTTAATGAAAGCTTTGCTATTGAGAATTGATGACTTCCTTGAGTTCCTTTGCCAAGTGAAGAGCAGATGTCCATAAAAATCAATAAAATGACAAGAACTGACCACTGTATTAATTCCTATTAAAATGGCTACATGGGTTGATGAATGTGTGGAGGTGGGAATACTGGGAATAGAAGCAATATAAGTCATACCATTTTTTTTTCATCTTGGTGGTGAAAAATGCTCCATTTTTTTCCCACTCACAGATGTGTTTACATGCTTATTCATACCCAGAAAGAGTAATAGTAACTCTCCCTACATTTACATTTTGCACCAACTATACTTTATAAATACAGTGGACTGGCTTTAAAGAAAAATTTGGGTTATGATTTCATTAATCAGCATAAATACCTTAAAGAAATGAATTGATATTTTATTTGTCAAAATCTACATATCCTCTTCAAAAGAGGAATCACCAGGATATGAAAACCACCATAATAGAACCCTTAGTGACAGATGTGGTACTACAATTAAAGATATCAGTTGTTTTGTCTCTCTCATAGTTTATACTTCTTCTTAAAAAAACCTTTCCTTTAATCACATCTAATGTGTATGCTATTGCATTCCCCAAATGTGAATTAAACTATGCTGAGCAGATGTGGAAAATTAAACAATACTGTTAGTAACATTAGGCCCTGAAGTTGCTTTGTTATAGTCTGTTTCTCACTTAATAATTTGTTTCCAAATAAATTCAGACATTTTGGGAATATTAAAAAAATGCAAAGGGAGGTTCCTTTTGCAACATTAAACAGTTATCTGATTATTCTTCTCATGTGCTATGTTAATAAACTAGGAAACTAATTTCTGATGCTTTTACCAATTCATTAAAGTTCCACTTTCAAGGTATGTGAAATAATCTCTTAAGGAACTATGTATTATGATATCTAAATGCTAATTTTTTTAAAAAAGAGATGCAATTGTACAGAAATGAAGGTTTGCATGAACTAGAGTTAACAAAGAAAAATAAGATCTTGTCATTTTCAAATACTATAAAATACCTTTTTACACGTTTGGTAAATCTTATTCACAAAAATACAATACCAAATTTATAATCTAAATCAGAGTAGCTGAGCGAGAAAAAAAATAACATTTTTTTGACTATCAAATATATCAGCTTAAATATTACACCACTTATTCACTTTAAAAATCAAGGGATATGAAGAGCTCCCCACCCTACCTCAAATTGTCAAAGCTTGTAAGCTCAGTACATACCTCTGTGTAAAATCTTTAAACTCCACAAATAGGTAAGGCCTTTAACAACCTAAATTTAAGAAAGAGAAAACAGTACAATGATGATTTTCATAAGGACCTTTCCACATTTAAACATAATAATATGAACCATAATTCTTCTTTTCAAACTCTGTCAACCAAGAAGCATCTCCCATTTGTGTGCCAGGATGAGGGTGCCAAATGTGTAAGTGTTCACATTCCTTCTTTTCATGAACTTTCAATGTTCTGAAGATAAGGTATGAGAAATGAAAGAATGAAGTGTATGTGCATAAAATGACCTGGAAGTACATTTATTAACTTCTTACTGGAGAGGGATAGGAAAAAGGGACAAAGACCTTCATTTTTTATTTTTCTATACCTCAGTATGTAAAAATTAAAAAAAAAATCATAACATTTATGACAAAAAAGGGACAATTTTAAAAATTAGCTAATGAAGGCAAGGGGTAAAAAAAGTGATCACTTTTCCTGCTAGTAGTCAGGAAGGCTTTACCTGGGCCTTGAGTAACTGAAAAAAAGAAAAGCAAGCCCTGGCCAGTTTTCTCAGTGGTTAGAGCATTATCTCTCAGACCAAAGGGTTGTGGGTTCGATTCATCATCAAAGGCACATACCTCAGTTGCAGTTTCATCCCCAGCCCTGTTTGGGGTATGTGCAGGAGGCAACTAATCTACATAAGTGCCTCTCACATTGATGTTTCCCTCTTTCTCTTCCTCCTCCTCCCTCCCTTCCACTCCCTCTAAAAAGCAATGGAAAAAATCCCATCCTCCTCCCTCCCTTCCACACTCTCTCTAATGATCTATGGAAAAAATATCCTCGGGTGAGGATTAGGACAATTTTAAAAATTAGCTAATGAAGGCAAGGGGTAAAAAAAGTGATCACTTTTCCTGCTAGTAGTCAGGAAGGCTTTACCTGGGCCTTGAGTAACTGAAAAAAAGAAAAGCAAGCCCTGGCCAGTTTTCTCAGTGGTTAGAGCATCAGCCCCAGGACTGAAGAGTCACAGGTTTGATTCCTGGTCAAGTTCACGCACCCCAGTTGCAGGTTCAATCCCTGGCCTCAGTCGGGGTGTGTGTGAAAGGCAACCAGTGGATGTCTCTCTCTCACATAGATGTTCCTTCTCTCTCTCTCTCTCTCTCTCTCCTTCTCTCTCTCTCTCTCTCTCCCTCTCTCCCCCCCCCCCCCTCTCTTTCTCTCTCTTTCTCTCTCTCCCCCCCACCCCCATCCTCCTCCCTCCCTTCCACACTCTCTCTAGTGATCTATGGAAAAAATATCCTCGGGTGAGGATTAAGGACAATAAAAAATTTAAAAAAAAGAGAGAAGAAAGCATTCAGGCCAAGGTAAGGCATATAATCAAAGTATTGGAGCAGTGTACTCTTCAAAAATATCAAGATCAGGAAAGACAAACATTGAGACACTGTTCTAGATTAAGAGAGCCATGACAACTAAGTGCAATGCATAACCTCAGCCTGGATGCTGAACCAGAAATTATTTTATTTTGTTCTCTAAGGGCATTATTGGACAACTGGCAAAATCTGAACAAGAATGTTGATTGGATAATAATAATGTATCAATGCTAATTTCCTGATTTTGGTCAGTCTACAGTGATAATCTAAGAGAATGTCCTTGTTCTTGGGAAATATACACCTGAAGTAGTTAGGGGTATAGGGCCATGATGTCCACAACTTGTTCTCAAATGTTTTAGGAAAAAATATGTAGTATTCCAGGTTTGTGGTTGGGAATCCATATATGTGAAGGGTCAACTTAAGCTATACCCAGATTTTTGTTTGCGTTGTGGTTAGTACCCTTAAACCACTGTATAGACTTGATGTTTAAGGGTAACCTGTGGGGCCTTGTGGAGGTATGGTCAATTATCCACAAGGCCCCAAGCTATACACAGATTTTTGTCTGCATTGTGATTAGTACCCTTAAATCACTGTATAGACTTGATGTTTAAGGGTAAGTGAGAAACATACATACATATATAAACCAAAGGTGGTTAACTGCTAACAACTGTGAAATCTGAGTGAAGCACCTGTGGGAATTCTTTTCTGTAAGTTTAAAATAATTTCAAAATAATAAGTTTCCCAAAAATATTTTAACTGATATTGGGGTAAGAAAGAACAAAGTAGCCCATCTGGCTGATGCAAGCCTAAGTGTGGAATCATGTAGACAATACCGAAAAGGTAAGTCAAGGAAATAAAGTGAGAAGATACAAACATCTGAATTAGATTTGGATTTCAGAATTTGGTCTGAGTTAAGAATAGTCAAATAAGATATGGAAAAAAATATATTTCTAAGACCCTACATACATGGATTACAAGTGCTACCTTCTAGTGGGAAACTAAATCATTAAAAGCTTTAGAAATCTTTACATAGACATTGTTGTAAAAGGAGATGCACACATTTTTATTTCTACCCATTGCTCTGTATGCATATGAGTGTGAACTTGCCAATTTCAAGATTGACTAATCATAATTAGGTATCAGATATAATAAATGAGCACCTAATCACTCAAATTTACTACAAAAATTTAAAAGTACCTGTCATTACAGGGAATTTTAGGTGGGTCAGGACTATAAGAATAAAAAAAGCTACCATTATGAGAAGTAACTGAATGAGTTACATTTCCTGAAAATGGTGACAAGAGGATTGGGGCTAAATATGCAAGGGTTTCAGCTGATCAAGAAAGACTAAGAGTAATATTAAAAACAGAAATGCAAAGGGAAAAACTCAATTTCCAAATAGTAAAGATCTGGAAGAACATAAAATCTATATCAATTAATGCTGAGCAGAGGTTAACATATTTTAATTGTTCTCATGGATGAGAATGTACTCCTGAAAGATTTGCTAACACAGTATAATCAATCCCACAATGTTTGTCTACTTTAAGATCATAGAACGAATACATTTTTATAGAAAACTAGAGGCCCGGTGCACGAAATTCGTGCACTGGGGGGTGGGGGTTCCCTCATCCCAGCCTGCCCCTCTCAATCCGGGAGCTCTCAGTGGATGTCCTACTGATGGCCACAGTCTGGCAGCAGAGGCTTGGAGCAGGCGTCCCGTGTGTGTGTGTGTGTGTGTGTGTGTGTGTGTGTGTGTGTCTGTCTGGCCTGCCCCCAGCTGCGCCACATAGGCTCGAAGCAGTTGCCGTGT